AGATGAAAGGATTACAGTGTCAAGCAAATGGCAAGTAGTATTAGTAATAAGAAAAATTTCTAACTTAGAAATCAAGTGGATGTTATTGAAGGGTCTACCCTCCCTAACTGGATTCCATCTTACCTTTCTTATGTATATATCTCAATCCAACAGTTACACCTGCTACTTTGCCATTTCATCAACTGCCTTACAAATGAATTATTTCTTCTTCAGTTACTAAAACCAATACAGATCAACCTACATCAGATTCCATAACAACACTGCCCAAATGAATATTTTTTCATAGAGCCTTGAGATAATAAAATACATTCACATATTGAGGGAAAACTATGTAGTATAATTTTTTATATATTATGTCATACTGGGTCGAACTTGTGAAAAAGCCATATTTGTAAATTGAATTGTATAAAAATATTCAGATCATTCATTTACTAATTCATTAGTTTACTTGATTTTTAAGTACCTTCTATACACAAGACACAATACAATGTACAAAGAATATCATATTTTCTACTATTAATAAGCATAATGTATATTTTCTAGAGTTTAATTTTAACTGATAATAAAACTTCACCAACTATAATAAGAAAAATATTTATGGCAATACATTATGGGCTTGTACTATGTCAAGATAACTGAAATAGATTTTTATCTCAAAAGTTGAATTAGTCATCAACTTCTATGCAAGCAGTTATCCTAAAATTTAGCAGCACATTACAACAAACATCTCTCTCAAGCAGTGTGCACAGATGAGGAATCCAGGAAGTGGGTGCACTGCAATCTCTGGCGCAAGGTCTCTCATGAAGTTAAATCAAGTGTTTAGGCCAGAAGAGTCATTTGAAGGCTTGAACAAGAGCAGAAGGTCCGCTTCCAGCTCAGCCTCTCACCAAGCTGCTGCTGGGCGGCCCCAGGTTCTCGCTGGCTTTTGTAGAACATTTCAGGCTCCTCAGGTGGGACGTTTTCCAGGGCTAGTCCACCCCTAGCAGCTGATTTTCCCCAGAGCAAATGATCTGAGAGAGAAGCAAGGAAGAAAACACTGACTTTGAGGATCCAGTCTACAAAGCTGCACTCTCCTTTTCTCTCTTTGTTAGAAGTACCTAATTGCTAAAAGAGTACACAAAGTGATATTTTAAGTGCCTTTATTTACCTATCGCACAATGTGTCCACATAACATTACATTAAACCCCATAAATACAACTGCAGTGAGGATTAGGCTCCACCTTTTGAAAAGACAACTGTTAAAGCCTTTATGGCCATGTTTTTAAATTACCACAGAAGTGATGTTAGTATACCATTTTTAAAAATGTTTTTGGTACAGAGTCTCACTACCCAGCTTGGACTCTTAGTGATCCTCCTGTTTTCAGTCTCCAGTGCTGGGATTACAGGCGCTCATCACCATACACGGTGGCGGGGCTGGAACTGCATGTGGTTCTGACAATTAAACCTTGGTCTCTACACTTGCCTAAGCAGGCACTTAGCCCAGTGAGCTATCTGGCTGGTGTTAGTATCTTCTTTGAACAATTCATTTAAACATTTTCTAACCTTAGCGAATTCTGTGCTTACATGTAGTTGTCACTTTATTACTTTTAGTTTGTTAGTACATGAGTGTGGTATACGTTTACCTTTCTTTGGGAAGTTGGTACATGCATATAACTAATCCAAATCCCTTTTCTACCCCTTTTACATCACCCCATCTTTCTCCCCCTTCCCTACTCCTTGGTCTCCTTCCTTATTTTGTTTGTAGCATATAAAATTTAGATTCCTTGTGTAGAGTGGTACATACACGTAACACATCCTATTTCCTTTTTTTCCTCTTCATTCCATCTCCCTTCCCTCTTTTTTTGTTCACAACTTTTAAATCACAGCCTATTTCCAGATTTAAAAAAACACATTCATTTAAAAATATTTAATAAATTAGCAAAGTTAGAAACAAATGAATCAACCATAATTCCACAGTCTAAACCTAAAAACTTTTAACATGTTTTTGTTTAGTGTGTGCATTCATTAATAGTTAGTGTGTACATACATATAAACACAAATAAATCTTAAGGACAGTATATATTTGTGATATATATATATGTATATATTATTTATATATACATAAGAATTTAATTCTATAAAGTTTTAGAAAACAGAATTCTTATAACATTCAATGTTTCCTTCCTTAACCCTTTTTCCTTAATTTTTGAATATGTAGGCTCTTTACTTCCTTTTATCACAATAACTAACAGTGCAATTAATATGTTTGCAAAGCTGGGCAGATAGCTCAGTGGCAGTGTGCCTGCCTCCCTGGAAAGTGCAGAATCCTGAGTTTGATTCCCATTAGCAACAACAAAAAGAATTGTAAAATGTACCCATTAAAAAAATTAATACATTTGCAGAATGCCTTTACACCTACGATTATTTCCATATGATAAATGTCTACAAGTAAAATTATAGAATAAATTTACTACAATCTGTATTCAAGAAAAATTGCATTAGCTTGTATTTATACTTCTTCCACATTTTTGAGTGTCCATCTCATTGTGATTTGTTGAATAAGTACTAAAAGTCTAGCATGCTGTTGATATGATAATTACTGTTTTATTGTCTCTCAGTTCCAAATTACTTGGTGCCATGTCTGAGAATGGATATAGTGCTTCCTTTGTGGTTTACATGATGCCATGCTATGTCAGCAGAGGGTACAAGAACAATACTGCAGAAGGATGAAGTCTTCCGATTTTCAGAGGTTGGTGGGTCAGGCGCCTGGATGCAGGATGGCTTCCTCCACTACTCTGCCAGAGTGGCTTCTCCAGTGCTATGTGTCAGTGGCATGCATCTTTTTTCAGCACTTATGCCCCTGCCTGCTTTTTCATCTTTTGATTTGACCACTAGTGGTACACCCTGGAGCCCCAGTACAGGATTATTGCTTAGCTTCAATGGCTACTATCTGCAAACATCTCATAAATGTGCACAGTCACAGAGAGGGGCCTTCATGGCCATCCATCCAGCAAGCAGTTTTCCTGACAATTGCTCTGTACAGCCTCAAAGATCCCCCAGTCCAAATCACACACTTACATGAGATTCCTACAAGAGGTCCTTCCAGCTCCTAGTCCAGAAACATCTAGAGAAGTGCCCCTGACCTTTGTGTTCACCTTTAACAAAGCTCCAGGTCCTTCTGCATGCTCAGCTGTCCACACCCTTGAGGGTTGCTACTGATCACTGGCAAGTGAAGTGCAGCTCAGACCTGGACAACCAGCAAACTTCTATCCAGTGGCTGCAATCTCACCATCTCTACAGAATTCAGAAATGTTTCTTCCTTTTACAAGTTTGCCCCCTTGGTTTTAAGATACCTTTTAGAGTTCAACCTTGTCATATCCTAATGATTCCCTCTTTGTAGTATTAGAGGTTCAACCTAAGATCTTGCATGTATGAGGCAAGATCCTACCCCAACTCTGGTAAAATTTTATTTTGAGCAAAGGTCTCAACATGTTGCCCAGGCTTGCCTTCAACTTTCAGTTCTCCTGCCTTAGCTTTCCAAGTATCTGAGACTATAGTTGTGGGTTACTATGCCAGAGAGTTTAATAATTATTCTTTATACTATAGAATAATGAATTATGTGTTAAAATTAGTGCATGGTTTCTGTCTATTGGTTGATCACAGACTAATAAATTTGATCATTGTGAAGAAATAACTTTGCATTTCATAGCCATTTGCATTTCTTCTGTAATTTTTCTTTACATACTATCTATGTTCCCCTATTCCCATGTAAGGCATTTTTCTTATGAAATTTGTAGACTTTCCATATATTGAAAAATAATCTTCTGTCATGTTTATAGAAGGCAATTGACACTACCTTAATTTTTTTAATAAATAAACTGAATTTCAATTATTCCATTTGCTTATCTTGGTGAGATGAAACCAAGATAAAAAGATAAGCCTCTAGGTCTTACTGGATTTTTCTAGGATAAGAAGCATTCTATACATTAATTTTCTCTAGTTTAGATTTTGGTGATACTGAAAACTATTGGTATTGTCTTACAAATATTTCACAGGGTTTCACCTGGGTTTAGTACATATTTAACCTTATTTCTCAGTACATGTAATGTGATGAATCAAATTAAAATGATTAGGAGAAATGTAAATGGAAGTAGCTTAGAGAATGGAATAATGTTGCACAAAATTTTATTCCAATATAGATTTATAGCTATAATCATAGATTACAGGGGTAGCATTGCTTTGTTCTTGCATTGCTTTCTAAATTGAGTTGAGCAGAACTCAAGTGTAGAATAGCAAGGTGCCAGGATGGCCGAGTCCAAATACCTGCCTAGCAGAGCTGCACATTCCTACTTTGTCCATTGTCTTCGCTCATAAACCAAAAGGTATCTGTGGCCAAGACTTATTTGGCAAATGCAATATAGTAAGTCTCTTTGGGATATTTGTCTGAACAAGTAAAGAAAATGAATTACACTGATTTTAAAGGGCTTAGTAATAGTTTTTAAAGTAATCACTAGAACAGAGTAAAAGGGGAGAAAGGGCCAAGGTTGAGAAAATTACAATCTGTATTTCTTAACTGAGTCCATCATCTATTCTTTCCCAAAGAACAGATATCTTCAGACTTACAGTCATTCAAAACCATCAACCTATATACAGTCACATATTCTCCGAAAATGCTAGAGCTATGGTATTTCACCCTCATATCCTTGATGGTATATGAATGCACTTCTTGTTAATTTCAAGAACTGGCAGCATCTGCTTCTCATCATTTCTCAGCTGGTTGATGATGCTTCAGTTTTCTTTAAGTTCAAGTGAAAAGAAGTTGAAACAAAGGCTAGCCAAATAGATCAGCAGATTAAAGCACCTACAAGCAGGTGCAGGGGCCAGGGTTCAATCCCTGGGCTTGCCATGCCGGCCCCTCCCCCAGGACAGGCTGAGATGGCAAATGATACTGGGTGTGGAGGTGCATGCCTGTAATCCAAACTCTTGGAAGCTGTAAACAGGAGAATCACTATGAGTTTGATCTAGTAGTGAGACTCTGAACACCCTGTAGACCCTTCCCTAAAATACAGGAAAAAAAGAAGTTGAAACAGTATGCTATCTGAATATGCCACTTAAATGCAAGTTACTTACAAGTTTTATCATTAGATATTTGGTAAAATATCATTAGATATTTGGTATACACAGTATCCAAGATTTTTTCAATTACTGAAACTACAATCAATCTTATTTTAGTCCAACTGTGAACTCTAGTTAACCTATCTCTTAAAAGAGAAACAGGTTTTTTTGGCATTCTGTTTTCTACAGATTTGAGATCATAAGTATGAGAATGCAACTGTGGACTTTGTACGTTTACCAAACAGTAACATATCTGACATTTTTAAAGTGATATAGCAATACTGGCCGGCACTGCTACACTGTTGTCTCTGTTTTTACTGCACATTTACTCTGAAGAAACTTCAATAAAATGGCTTTTTCTGTATTGAATCTGAAAATGAGAAAGAGAGGAAGAGTATTAAAAATTGGGCAAATTTTGTGCATTGAACCTATTAAAGGACCATATGCCTGCATGCAGTCATGCCTTACTTTGTTATTGTTCTTTGAATCTCTCTTTTCTCTTCTTCATTTAGTTTTTCAAGAATGGATTCCAAGAGAGAAAAATGAAAGTTAATGTACTGAGCCACCTGAAAAAGAAAAACCAAAAAAGCAAGCAGAGCTTTTATGAAAAGTGCTGAGTGAGGAAGGACAGGAAAACAAAACAAAACAAAAACATGATATCCATACATCACTACTGATTTCTTCTGCATCTTTATCCATGAGAAAAATGCGAGCATTGTTTCTGGAAGGGCCTTGCAGGAGCCTCTGCATCAGTGGAATATCTGTTTTCTTTAGCTGTCTCTGTTCTGCAGATTAAAAAAAAAAGTCATCTATAGTCAGTAGGTCATTCTAGAAAAAAAGAAAAATAATTTTCTCATTTGTTTTATTTCATTGGCACATTTGAAACAAATAAGATCTGAAATAAAAGCAATTAGAATCATTCCTCAAAAAAGGGGTGATCATTCATCTTTCTCCCTTATGTATGGGGAATATGTCACAAGACCCTGATGGATTATGGATGCCTGAAATCACAGATACACTGTTTTCAGTACTTTTAGCATTCCATTCATCTGTGGGTTTTATCCATTCAGTTATAAAACTGAGATAGAGCTAGGCTCTAGAGAGCTTCGATCTGTGGGCTCAGAGCACTCAGGCACAAATCTTAACTGGCACCATTACAGAACTTAAGAGGACTCTAGGTAGCTGGCAGGATCTGGTAAGCTCTGACCCTACCTGCAGGAATGGAGCTTACACTAGTGCTGATCCAACATTTTAAGAACTTAGGAGGACTGAGCAGCCCATGGAACTCGAGAACTGTGATCTGGAGGCTCTTGGTATGCAGGCACAGACTTTCCTGGTACCTGGCCTCTCCATTTAAGAACTTAAGAGGACAGTGGGCAGCCTACAGGATTCTGGGGAGCTGAATCCCTTGGCCCCCAAGTGTGCAGGTGTGCACCTTGTGCTGGTGCCGGTCCAAACTTTCAAGAACTTAGGAGGATTCAGGGTGTCCCATGGGATCCTGGTGATTCCAGCCTACACCCACCACCCACACTGAAGCTTTGCTGAGTATCAACCAGTTATTCCCACTAGTAGTGAGAGCCTTGGTGAATCCTATGCTGCTCTCCACTGTCGCAGAAACTTCACTGACAAATGCCTCATTACTCTCCCATGACGGCTAACCCTGGGTGATTTCTGGGAGCTTGAAAAATGCCAAAACAGAGAAGCAAAAGGCAAGCTGAATCCTCCAGCCCATATAAAACAAATCCAAGAGACAAAGACGTAAGAACTTGAAAATCACACACATGAAATTTCTGAAATAAAAGCAACTGAAGTAAAGAAACAAGTCCATCAGGTTATTGAAGAAATAAAAGCAGAAATAATCTCTCAGGTCGAAAAACAAATGACAATAATTGTGAAAGAATTGCTCAGCACAGCTAAAGAAGATGCAGATAAAAAAATAGAGAAGAATATAAAAATGATGGAAACATTGAATGAACAACACAAGGAAGCAATTAAATACATGAAACAAATTCAAACAGATATCCAGGAAATTAAGAACTTCATTGAAAGCTGGCATAACTGAATGAAACTGAAGATAATCTTTAAGACATGGAAGACAGTGTTGCAAACTAATGAATATGAGATAAAAGATCTCTTAAAATTAACAAGGATCCAGGAAGTAATAATTCAGCAGTTATAAGATGACACAAGGAAAAAGAATAAAAGAATAATAGGCATCGTGAAGCAGTGGGAGACAACACAAATGACATAAAAGACTATTGGGAGAAGTATTAGCAGAAAATTTTCCAAACATGAGAAAATAACCCAGTATACAGGAGGCATATACAATTCCAAACAGCCATAATCACAATAAATCTACAATGAGACACATAATAATTATGATCTTGAAATTCAGCAGAATAGAATATTAAAAGCTGCTAGAGAGAAGAAACAGATCACCTACAATTAACCCATTACAATCATGCTAGATTTCTCAACACAAACCATCAAATCAAGAAGATCTTGGAGTGAAGTATTTCAGATCCTGGAAGAAAATAATTTCTGACCCAGATTGATGTACTATGAAAAACTATTGATCAAATCCAGTGGCGTTTTCAGGTCAGGGAGGACTCAGGACATAAGAGAACCTGTTCTGTAGCATCCTATAACTCAGTGGTGTCCCAAATTTTCTGTTCAAGATTATAAAGTAACAGAGGAAAGTGATCCATGATGGAGAATGGACCTAAGGAGAGTCGCCTGGACAGAAAACATTCTCTCAGGCTTCCACAGAGAGCAAACTGGTCAAGCAATGGCCAATTCATCCATAAGACTGACACTAGAGCCCAGGCCCGGGGTGTGAGTTAGATGCCTCAGGCTGCCAGATCCTGAATAGACCCAGAACACAGGTCCAGTGTGTGAATGAGACTGCCTGGGGCCCACTGAATCCTCATTTGACCCAGAGTGCAGGCCCAGTGCAGAACAATTCAGCAGATCTCCCTGAAAAGAGGCTAGAGGAAAGACCAACCCAACTGTTTCAGGAGCAGAACATCTTGCCAGAGAGACACAAAGGGTTCAACTCTAACGACAGCATCAGAAAGAAGTGGAGCACAGCAGCCGGATCCAAACAACACCCACCTAGAGGAATCTGAACTTCATAGACCCAGACCTGGTGCTCAGGTATTAACTCTATCTAAGCTCTACACCAAAGGTCAGAAGACAGTGGTATACAAAATGACAAAGAGAAGGAACAAAATGCAGTCTCAGGCCCTGAATCCACCCAGTATAATTGCAGAAGACACTAGCATTGAGGAAACTGGAAATCACACGCCATATATCTCTGAAATAATAGTGTTGGCAGTAAAGAAACAACTGCACAAAGGTATAGAAAAAATCAGATCAGAAATAATTTCTGAACTAAAAAATTTACTGATAACTATAATCAAAGAAGTACTAAGCGCTTCTAAAGAATACACTGATAAAAAATAGAGCAGAATATAAAAATGATGGAACCCCTGAATAAGCAATTTAGGAAAGAAATAGAAT